GCTCTGCTCAAATGAAATGGGATTGACGAAACGGAGAGTTAGCGATAGGGTCTATTCAGAGGATGTAAGACCACTTTACTTTGCCGGTCCCATAGGCGTAGCTCCCGTGACAACCACAAACTTGGGTCAAGCTTGAAGGGACAGGCAAGAAGGCCACACTGCATAAGTCGAAGTTTCATTGTCTCAGATCTTTTGGATAGTTTCAAAAACCAATTTTCGGTAGGGCTAGTACTGCCCTCAATGCATGAGATGAGCGGTGACTTCTCTTAGGCCCTTTCTCTATCTATGCTCTCGAATCGTCATTGTTTCAAGGGTAAAATTAGAGCTGTGTCGAAATGTCACCCTTGTCCTGGCGAGGGACTTCTAGACGCTATGCTAACGGCACATTCCGAATGTTAAAGGGGCCCGTACCGAGTGCAATGAAGGCCATTGTTGGTTTAGGAGCCATAGAGAATTCAAAAGAAAACCTTCAATGAAGAAAATGATGAATTGAACAAGGCAAGGCCACAATCACTGGAGTGTGAGTTCTTTCATCGCCTGAACGGAACCCTTGTCCTGGCGAGGGACTTCCTAGACGCTATGCTGATCTTGGCTGAGTAGCTGATCTTCTTGACTCGATAGACAGCCTCCAGAGGCAGATATTCGCCTGGCGGTCATATCCGGAGCAGCTTCTAAGCTACGAATTTCATCAAATCTGCCCTTAAAATATACTTGCACTTTTCCTACTACTTTACGTTTTCTTATAAGGATGGAGCTGATTCACCATGCGGCATGCACAGGTTGTATTGGTGGCGCAATTACGTGTAGAACAATAGGAACCAGTGACGTGGATCGAACAACGCCTGCTCGGCCTCATTGTTCTTTCGATGACAATGATGGCGACGAGGACTGGCCAGGATATCTATGTGTGCGGGTATTTGCGTAGGGTCAACGTCGGATTAGCAGATATCAATGAATGCCTATGCCACCATTCTGCACTGTCAAGGGACTCTCTAATTTGCCTAGATACACACTAGAGGAACTTCTGTCTGGGTCTACTTAATCAGCTGATTCATTTGGTCACTTGAGGCCTGCTAGAGCTTATGGTAATTCCTTCAATATCTCGTCATAATTGTTGGCGAGATCAAAACCATGGACGAAGTTTCGGTTGAATTTCAAATCGTCATGGACCAACACAATGGCAAATCCGCGACATACCCTATGCACCAAATTTAGTATAGATCCTTGTTTAGCTCCACTAAATCTCCACCTCGCCATGGTTCCCCTGTCGATTCATATATACACCTTCCGTGAAAGAAAATGTCGAAAATAAATGTTGGCCAGCTCGAGTCAGTTGTTGCATAGGAAGAACACTGTCAAACATCTCTACGATTTGGAACGGAAACCAAATGCGGGGCGCATTCCCTATTATCAAGTGTGAAGTTATGCTACCGTTCGCATTTTGACAATAGTCACTGCTTGAATACACAACCACAATAAAGCCCTGTTTATGAACAACCACTAATAAAAACAACCATCTACTCTCTGTTTCCGAAAACCAGGTGCTCGTCGAGTGCAGACCATACACCACAAGTGACGACGGCCTCCACAAAATGTAAATGTTTTCTGCCAATGAAATGATTAGCCTGTTGCAGTTGTATTCTATCAGTTGTCACTAATTACAACTATCATTTACCAAAATCAGCTATCACTATGAACCACTAACCAGATTTACTTGGAGGCCGTCGTTAGTATGGTGTGGGGTCTGCACTCGACACGCACCTGGATCTCGGAGATGGTGCTCAGATGTGGGAACTAAGGAAAAAATGTTCTTGAAATAAAACTTGATATCACAAAATGTTGAGCTGTGGGCAGAACACTTCACCCAGGAACAGGGGATTCCCGCACTCACGCTTCTTGCGTGGTGAATCGCTTGGTAAAACTTGGCAGCGAACGCGAGCCTGAAAACCTTAGCAGAAGTTACAATTTTCACTCGGTAATTGACTGACACCAGGTCGCACAACTTCTTGTGAAAGCCAAACTCTATAGCGTTCCAAAACCGCTATGTGATTGGCTCAAAGTATCGTTACTTTCAGATTCACGTTGGTGGCCGTCCACCGGATGAATTCTCCGAGGGCATCGAAACGTCATTCACGGGATGTATGGCGAGAATGCAATTGAATTCGGTGGATCTGCTGAGCTTCGCGCCAAGAGATGGAGGCCATAAGTGTCAGGTGAGAGAAATTTTGGAAGCCTTGTTCGGGCATGAAATAATGCTAGGAACAAATTAGGCGGCTGGTGGAGAAGCTGCTGTATAGGTTCAAGCTTCTGAACTAGCCACCTTTCTTTGAAACTGGATCTACTACACACTGAAGCAGTTTTCCATCCTGCCCATGTCGCGGTTGGTATTAAATACGCACGTTTTTCATGACACTCCAATAAATGGATAAATAATTAAATATCCAGTGGTTTTTGTTCTATGACAAGGTAGTGTGAATCTGTCCTGCCACTTACGTGCCGTGCTCACTAGTTTCTGCGCGCCGCCGTGCAAAGACTGTTATGATTGCTTGTCTTCTAAGTGAACAAATATTCAGAAGAAGGCATGCATGAATGTTGCTGCGACACATTGCTCCCAGGGTCGCAGCCGTCCGTTTGCACTATTTGAAAGTCGGGAGTCGAACTTCGCGATGTCTGGTATGAGGTGGGGGGGGTGGCGAAATTCGGGGTTGAGCAAGTTACCATGTGGGGACAGTGCGAGGCTACGGTTGATCCTGATCTCTTGTGCTCTGGCTGGCACTGTCCAGCAAAAATTCCGCCTCACAATTTCCGATTAATCCTTGGCTTCCAAGCAACGTGAGGTCATGGCTGAAGGCTCAAAACAGGAGGAATTCATATTCGTCCTCTCTGCTCAGCAAAATCCTCATCTGTTACAGAAATTTTGCGACCGGGCTGAACCTTCTCACCTCTGCCGTTTTCGTTTTATCAGGAGTTGAACCAGAATCCAAAACCTTTCGCTCTTTATCCATTTCGATATCGACAATTTTTTGGCACAACATCTTCCGCCATCCAGAACCGTCTGTTCATGCTCTTTGTGTAAAAAATGTTTCGGAGCCAATGTTCGGCGAAATGGCCAACGTTTATTTTCTCCGGCACTTCCAGGTTCTTCTTTGATCAGGGTTACATCTGTTTATCGCCAATGTCAGCGTCTCAAACTGTCATGGAAGCTCATTTATTTCATCGCTGTTCAAACTAAATGCAGCCTTCTCCGAAAGCTGTCCGTACCATTTTACGATGCACGATCGTTGCGTGGACTATACTTCTCAACTCAATCACGCGCTCTGGCCACAGACCAGGGTGTTCCTGCTAATCCACAATCAATACTTATGCCTAATAGTATTCATACCTCCAGCTGGCAACACGACAGACGTAGTGCCCTGCGCATCGCAACTTTATAGCAATCGCGCTTCGTATGCCACGTAGTGCTTCATGCATATTCGTCAAGGGCTGCTACTGACCGAATCAGCGCTATATTAAGCCTATGCGTCAGGGAGAAGGGTCCTTCCATGTCGCACCTCTGCAGCATCTCTGAAATTTCCCTAGATTTTTTCTATTTCAGATGTCCAAACCACCGTCTCTGACGTTGCACGAATCGGCCAAAGCATTCATTCCATTCTCGTTCCTGCCGTTCTCGTCGAATGCGAGAGTGCAGTTCTGTGGCACGTGCTACTCTTAATAACCATATCGACGCCGAGAACAACTCTCTGCTGAGCAGACAAACGATCTGACTGGTAGTAGTCGCAAAACCTGCATTTGGTCAGCAATGTGACCCGCTTCAAGCAGATCGCCCACTGCCTGCCGTGCAGTTCGCGCCCATATAATTGCAAGCGGCAAATGGGCCATACGTAATGCTGATACTAAAACTAAACATGCCACTCCTCGAGAAGCGAACAGACCCTCCGTTCTCAGCGGGACATGAAACATTTTTATACTACGTCGGAGGTGGAACTAAGGAGAGTAAAAGGATAAGGGATATCGCTTTCAAACAACAATGATTCTCGTTTTGGAAGCCGCCAACTCGCACTCATGGCGGCCTTTACAACTTGCCGTTCAGCAAGACTTGGAATGCCGAGCTTTTACACTTGCGTTCAAAGCTTGGGAACGCGCCCCCCGCTTATACCTGGCGTCCAAACGACCGTACAAGTAAGAGTTTGGGGTATTAGTGGATATGCTGGAAGGCGGCGCGGCCGACTTATGCAAAGTTTCCTTATCGGCCTCAGTACGCGTGGTAGGAACTGATGACCCCGGAGGGATCTCCTGAAGGGTTTGGTTAGCAATCTGACATGATTCAAACCGCGATTTAAAGTCTTCGAATCGTGTGTGCGAACCTGCGCACACTGCACCACCGCACACCGAACAAAAGGGTGCTGGAAAACACTGCAGTTTTTTGAAGCATTTAACATCCATAATTATTCTATGAAGACCTATTGTATTCTACTAAAATTGGTCACGGGTGAAGATCTATGCTCTACCCACAACAGAAAGCATTCCCTCAATCCATTCTCTATGACCCCAGGAAACTCTCATGATCCAAATTCCACTTTCCTGCAAACCACGCCTCTCACTCGGACCAGGAAATTGTAGCACAAATCTCTAAAGAGGCGCAAGTGCTGGAGTGAATGCATAACGAAGAAAGAGTGTAAACTCCCCCTTCAAAAAGCGAGAAAGTGTCGGGTGCAGACCAAACACCACAACTGACGACGGCCTCCAAGTAAATCTGGTTAGAAGTTGTTCATAGTGATAGCTGATTTCTGGTAAATGATAGTTGTAATTAGTGACAATCGATAGAATACAACTGCAACAGGCTAATCATTTCATTGGCAGAAAACATTAACATTTTGTGAAGGCCGTCGTCACTTGTGGTGCATGGTCTGCACCCGACACTTTCTCGCTTTTTGAAGGGAGGGTATTTCCTCCACTGTTCAAAATCTATTCTTTCTGCTAGAACACGTTTAGAACAACTGCTTCGTTGTGCTTTGGCCAATTTACAACGGGATAACTTTTGGGTGAGGGTAAAATGATCCTGTCCAGTAAAACAACAACAATTGTTTGTACTTTTTCTCGGTGCTAAACTCCTAAATTCAGAGATAAACGTGGCTGACGGTGGTTGGCACAGTTTCTCGTTGCGTATTCGAGGCCCTCGACTCGAAGTGGAAATCGACGGCTATACGGTAAGTTTTCAATAATTCATGGCTACTGGATCCCATATCTTCGAGCCTTTCCAGAAAGAACACCCAAAAAGAAGTATTTTCCTACCAAAATGAGAAAAAACCTAACTGTAAGGTGGAAAATGAATAGTTAGTTTTTTCACTCAACTGTTAACAGAACCGACAGTTCCTGTTTTGTTACAAACTCCGTCATAGCTGCCCCCGGAAAAGCACATTGAAAGCTGTTACTGCTCCATTGCTATTCGGACCAGCTCCAAATGGCACTTAGCATGACCAATAGAAATGACACCTCTAGACCTCTAGCGCCTCATTCATAGACAAGGTTGTTCAAGGGTCATTACGTTCCACCGGGGCAGCCGCCCCCCCCCCCACGCCCCCTGTTGGCTCGTCAACAAGGCGTCATAGCATCAGCTGGTTAGCAGTGAAAATCACACGAATAATTAAGGTATTGTGGTTGGAAGGTCAAGAAGTGCGACGAATCTCAGCACGTCTCACCTCGTTGGTCCTTTCATCAATCGGTTGCTATCGATCGACCACAATCGATTTCGGTAAAGTCCATGTCGAGGGTACGGTAATTCGAGGCAGCTGTGAGATGGTCGACAGGTATGTATGTTCAATTTAATTCTTTGGTACTAGAACAAAAAGAAGTGCGCATTCTAAAATCTGTACGAGAGCGTTTCCGGCTTTTAGCCTTTCTGAAGAGAGTACTAGAAGAAACCGCTCGCTGGTAGTGACGATTCCTTCCAGGTTTTCACTTCTTACTTTCGATTATTTTTCTTGCAGCAAATATTTTAACTCCCCCTTCACCGCGGGGTGAGCAGCGCAGTAGCTAAGCACCCCGCGTGAAGTAGTTAGAGTAGCATAAATCGCTCTTATCGCATCAGCCATCCCCTACAGTATTTTAAGTGGTATTGTTGTGGACAGCGGTTACGTCGTGAGTATTGCAGAAAGCACATTTTCTTTTTTGCTAGGTACATTTCTTGGAGGACACATACCAGCTCAAATAAAGGGGTGAGGCTTCCAAAGACGTATAAAGGTAGGACTAATTAATTCGCAATGAGGTATTACACCATGAAAGCGCTCGACGAAGGCCTTCTTCGTCTGCGGTCGCGAGAAACTGGATGCAGTTCAATGTCCGCGTTAATACAACGGAGTGTCGATCTTGTGATTTTGGAGAGGGATCGCACTTGGCTCTTGACTTTGCTGAAAAGGCTGAATCTCGATGGAGTATTGCGAAGCTGGTCCGGGGTTGGGGAATGGGGAAGAGGTGTTATTGACTCCTTCTAAAATCAAGCCTCTGATGGCATGGTCGGGGTAACAGGATCACATCAAGACCCATAATCGCAACAATTTGAAAAAGTGCGAACGCGACGTTTGACCCAATCTAGGACACGAGCACTTCAAGAGACAAAAATTAGAGATAAAGGATCCAACCTCCTGAATTACTTTCTCAGCGTGGACTCTTCAATTATTTCTAGCAGTCTTTGAGATGGTACGTAGTCTCAGCCAACTGCATAAAAATGGTGCTCCGACGAGAACTCGCTAGACAGAAAAACCTTCTTAGAGAGGCACCAGCATATCTGCTTGCGTTCAGAATGGTAAAGTTATTCGCAATGTGATATGGTCACAATCACCTACGGTGGCTAGCCGGTGTACTATTCATTGTTTTCCCATCCCAGACCACACTGGTACTAATTGACCGACCCCAAAGCGACGAAAGGCTTGGTTGGCTTAGGCTGTGAACAGTCTAGATTTAATCCCGGACTGTACACGTGATAGGTAACGCTACTTGCCCCCTACACCTTTCGCCCTGGTTTCATAAGATAACGCTCCCACTAAACGGCTTCTCCAATACGATTTGAGATGCTTAGTCATGATGTGAATGTTCAAATTATTTATTAAAGACGGTTTCAAAAGTTCAGCGGTATAGACGCTGCTTGCATTCTTCAGAGTGGTTGAAGCGGTCCAGACGCTGCTTCGCACGTCCTTCAGAGTGGTTGAAACTCACATTCATGAGCCAACGCTGCTGCAACCTACCCCAAAGCCTTGGGTTACGTGGACGGAAGTGGCGGCGTGACAGCGCTATAGAATCCCTCGCTCCATGCATTATGATCTAATTTTGTCCATACAGATTCTATTACCATGTATGGATCACATCTGGCCCTGGATAACTGACGGAATAACAGCTGTTCTCTGATGAAGGCTGTTACCAAATGAATCGGTTCATTTCTGCTCCCCTAGGCAACTGGAGCCCTTTCAGCTCCAACTGTTAGCTCCAATTAAGCTCTAAATTAGAAAAAAAGTTTGGCGCTGGTCTAAACTTGGACTACGAAGGTACACGCCGCGTTCTTAGATTTTCCTTTCCTGTGGACTGACTCAACTACACGTTTTTTTTTGAAATTTAAGGCCATGACCTCAGATGTCAAAATGGTCCCTGATATCCAAAAGAGAGTATCACGCCTTGAGGCCGACGAGGAGGTTGGACGTTTCTGATCATTTAGAATCTTTAACTACTCCCTTTTAGCCATAAATACATGCCTGTATGTAAAAACATAACGGGTCTGAAGCTTTAATTGCTTTAACTCCGATGTAATTTATGATTCCGAAGAAATCGGAACTCACCGCTCGCAAGCCTAACAACTAGGCTTTGTCTAGCTCTATCAACTAATTTCCGATGTGTGATCTGTTAGCCTGTTCTGCAAAACATTAGAAAGAGAGAGTACTGTAGGCCTGAATAAGAGGGAGAGTAAAGTTCGTAAGGTAAACACTAGAAACCGGTTACAAAGGCGAAGGCTTGCGTAGGAAAAAACCTCCGCGCGACGTTCAACATATTCAGAAGCTAAAAGGACGTTACCGGTCATAAGACGATGCCTGTCAATTTGGGACAGGGAGACCAAGGGAATTGCAAATGCGGGCCGTGGTCCACGACAGAAACTGCTTGCAACTGTGAAAGGTTGATGAAAATCTGTACAACTGCAGGGCATTCCACCATCAAGGCGATTAAAGAATTGATGAGATTTCACATTAGCTCACATCGATTGCTCCAGACATCAAGAGCACTTCAAACGGAATTGTTATTGACAAGGGGACTGCCAGAAGTTGATGGATAAAGGACCACGTCCGCGAAACCACTAGCTGTCAATTATGTGTCGGAGGCACTGAAGGCGGTTAATTGGACGTGGAAATTAGGTAATTAACGCTTATGGAGGATGACTATTGTTGACCGATTACAGAGGTTCAAAACAACGGAGATGCAGCGCAGACAAGTAGGGCGAACAATGTCCCTATAATGTCAAGCCAAAGGTCTGATGACACTGAGAAATGACCCTTCTGTATAACTTGGATGTTTAAGTAGTTAGGCTGTTCACCCTTTGTACAATATGTGCTATTCTACCACTAGACTGGCTGATCCGATACTCCACGTCTATGAAACCTCAAATATATAAGTGGTTAGTACTCCACGTTGTGGCCGTGGCGACACAGGTTCGATTCCTGTCTTGGGCAGTGTTTTGCGATTATAATGATGGGCTCCAACAGGACTGCTGATCGATAATCCACGTCTATGAACCGCTCTCGGCCCAAGTAGTATAGTGGTTAGTACTCCACGTTGTGGCCGTGGCGACACAGGTTCGATTCCTGTCTTGGGCAGTGTTTTGCGATTATAATGATGGGCTCCAACAGGACTGCTGATCGATAATCCACGTCTATGAAACCACTCTCGGCCCAAGTAGTATAGTGGTTAGTACTCCACGTTGTGGCCGTGGCGACACAGGTTCGATTCCTGTCTTGGGCAGTGTTTTGCGATTATAATGATGGGCTCCAACAGGACTGCTGATCGATAATCCACGTCTATGAACCACTCTCGGCCCAAGTAGTATAGTGGTTAGTACTCCACGTTGTGGCCGTGGCGACACAGGTTCGATTCCTGTCTTGGGCAGTGTTTTGCGATTATAATGATGGGCTCCAACAGGACTGCTGATCGATAATCCACGTCTATGAAACCGCTCTCGGCCCAAGTAGTATAGTGGTTAGTACTCCACGTTGTGGCCGTGGCGACACAGGTTCGATTCCTGTCTTGGGCAGTGTTTTGCGATTATAATGATGGGCTCCAACAGGACTGCTGATCGATAATCCACGTCTATGAAACCACTCTCGGCCCAAGTAGTATAGTGGTTAGTACTCCACGTTTGCCATGGCGACACCAACAGTCTGATCTGTCTTGGGCAGTGTTTTGCGATTATAATGATGGGCTCCAACAGGACTGCTGATCGATAATCCACGTCTATGGAACCGCTCTCGGCCCAAGTAGTATAGTGGTTAGTACTCCACGTTGTGGCCGTGGCGACACAGGTTCGATTCCTGTCTTGGGCAGTGTTTTGCGATTATAATGATGGGCTCCAACAGGACTGCTGATCGATAATCCACGTCTATGAAACCACTCTCGGCCCAAGTAGTATAGTGGTTAGTACTCCACGTTGTGGCCGTGGCGACACAGGTTCGATTCCTGTCTTGGGCAGTGTTTTGCGATTATAATGATGGGCTCCAACAGGACTGCTGATCGATAATCCACGTCTATGGAACCGCTCTCGGCCCAAGTAGTATAGTGGTTAGTACTCCACGTTGTGGCCGTGGCGACACAGGTTCGATTCCTGTCTTGGGCAGTGTTTTGCGATTATAATGATGGGCTCCAACAGGACTGCTGATCGATAATCCACGTCTATGAAACCGCTCTCGGCCCAAGTAGTATAGTGGTTAGTACTCCACGTTGTGGCCGTGGCGACACAGGTTCGATTCCTGTCTTGGGCAGTGTTTTGCGATTATAATGATGGGCTCCAACAGGACTGCTGATCGATAATCCACGTCTATGAAACCACTCTCGGCCCAAGTAGTATAGTGGTTAGTACTCCACGTTGTGGCCGTGGCGACACAGGTTCGATTCCTGTCTTGGGCAGTGTTTTGCGATTATAATGATGGGCTCCAACAGGACTGCTGATCGATAATCCACGTCTATGGAACCACTCTCGGCCCAAGTAGTATAGTGGTTAGTACTCCACGTTGTGGCCGTGGCGACACAGGTTCGATTCCTGTCTTGGGCAGTGTTTTGCGATTATAATGATGGGCTCCAACAGGACTGCTGATCGATAATCCACGTCTATGAAACCACTCTCGGCCCAAGTAGTATAGTGGTTAGTACTCCACGTTGTGGCCGTGGCGACACAGGTTCGATTCCTGTCTTGGGCAGTGTTTTGCGATTATAATGATGGGCTCCAACAGGACTGCTGATCGATAATCCACGTCTATGAAACCGCTCTCGGCCCAAGTAGTATAGTGGTTAGTACTCCACGTTGTGGCCGTGGCGACACAGGTTCGATTCCTGTCTTGGGCAGTGTTTTGCGATTATAATGATGGGCTCCAACAGGACTGCTGATCGATAATCCACGTCTATGGAACCGCTCTCGGCCCAAGTAGTATAGTGGTTAGTACTCCACGTTGTGGCCGTGGCGACACAGGTTCGATTCCTGTCTTGGGCAGTGTTTTGCGATTATAATGATGGGCTCCAACAGGACTGCTGATCGATAATCCACGTCTATGAAACCACTCTCGGCCCAAGTAGTATAGTGGTTAGTACTCCACGTTGTGGCCGTGGCGACACAGGTTCGATTCCTGTCTTGGGCAGTGTTTTGCGATTATAATGATGGGCTCCAACAGGACTGCTGATCGATAATCCACGTCTATGAAACCGCTCTCGGCCCAAGTAGTATAGTGGTTAGTACTCCACGTTGTGGCCGTGGCGACACAGGTTCGATTCCTGTCTTGGGCAGTGTTTTGCGATTATAATGATGGGCTCCAACAGGACTGCTGATCGATAATCCACGTCTATGAAACCACTCTCGGCCCAAGTAGTATAGTGGTTAGTACTCCACGTTGTGGCCGTGGCGACACAGGTTCGATTCCTGTCTTGGGCAGTGTTTTGCGATTATAATGATGGGCTCCAACAGGACTGCTGATCGATAATCCACGTCTATGAAACCACTCTCGGCCCAAGTAGTATAGTGGTTAGTACTCCACGTTGTGGCCGTGGCGACACAGGTTCGATTCCTGTCTTGGGCAGTGTTTTGCGATTTATAAATGATG